AAAAATCACTAGCCACTCGTAAAAAGCTTGACCTTAAGGCCTGACTCTCTGCTACTCTTCTCCTTCGACAGGCACTGGCAGCTGTGCAAAGTGAGTGTAGAACACAACCATGCTGATTCATATCACACTAACCCAATATAAACAACTGCAAATGGGGCCAAGCCAGGGAGAATTGCGTCCTACATTTTTTTCCCTCTTTCTTTTTGGTACTTGTAACAAGCACAGAGAACCCATCTCTTCTTTTCTGATTTTGCCCTTTGCTGTGTCAAACCAACCACTCCCTACATAGAGAATAAGGGTGTGATGTTAATGATATAATCTGTAAGCGTGTAGATCACTGTTGCAACCACTCATATATTTGCAGCAGATATTGTACAAAGGTTGTCGTGCGAGGTGTCTATGGGAAGGTTATGATTTGCTGGGTATGATTATGCTATCTGTACCATTTTTGTAGTTGAAGTTATGAATATTGGCTCTGTACTTGTATATCAATATGATTTGATTCCAAGTAGCCTCAGTAAAGCATTTGGTCAGATTCTTGAGAAAGGAATTTTCAACTTAAGTGCCCAATCAAGAAACATTTAACTGACAATGGATTTTGGGAGAGGCCCATCCACATCTAAGCTTTCCTGGAAACGTTGAAACTAACATGTAAACAATGGCGTTGGCCTGCAAACGGAGTCAAGCATGGACATGTGACTTGCCCATGTGACTCCAGACTCCATCTTGCTGCTGGGATTTTCCACAGTAAGAACAAAGAGGTGTTCTTCCACGGGCAGAGAATATAAAAAGGCCCTGAAAACTCCTCCATCTTTCTTCAATCCTGCTTCAGACCTCTGGAGGAACTTTGCTACAGTCTGAAGCTTTGAACAAAGGGCTGAATGGATGTACTCCAGAGACTTGATTTGTGCCTGCAGTTTATTCCATCACTACTACAAGCCTAAACCAAGAACTTTGCCATTACTGTATGTCATTGGTTCCATTTAACCAATTCTAGCTCTCATCTCTATCTTTTTCCTTTTATGAATAAACCTTTAGATTTTAAATTCTAAAGGATTGGCAACAGCGTGATTTGTGGCTAAGATTTGATTTGTATATTGACCTGGGTCTGGGGTTTAGTCCTTTGGGATCGAGAGAACCTTTTTTCTTTGACTGGGGTATTGGTTTGCATAACCATTCATCCCCATAACGAGTGGCACTGGTGGTGATCCTGGGAAACTGGAGTGTCTAAGGAGATTGCTTGTGTGACTTGTGGTTAGCCAGTGGGGTGAGACCGAAGTCTTTTCCATTTGGCTGGTTTGGTTTGGGAACCCCACCCTTGGGCTGTGACTGCCCTGTTTTAAGCACTTTGTCCTGAATTGGTACTTCCAGTGGGGCCCCACCAGAACCGGCATCGTTACAAAGGGAAACAGACAGTAAAAGAGTTTTGCCCTTATCCAGTGCTTCCCAACCTAGATTTCAAAGCGTTTTACAAACCTCAGTTAATGGAACCCGAGAAAATCCCCAGGAGCAGAGTTTGACTCACCCTATTTTACAGAAGCAAAACTAAGGCACAGAGATATTCAGCAACTTGTCTAAGCCCATACAGCAAATTAGTGACATACCTGGGAATAGAGCTTAAGGCTGGAAGGGACCCACCAGATCTTCTAGTCTGAGCCCCTGTGTTTCATAGGCCACAACTGCCATCCAAGCACCCCAGGATTTCTGACTCTTACTCCCCTTTACTTTAACCACTAGACCACTCTCCCTTCCAAAACCAGGCACAGAAACCAGGAATCCTGACGCACAGGTCCTCTGCCCTAACCACCAGTCAAACACTCCGAATCCGCGTTCGCGCTACAAGATTAAATTCCGTACCTCATTGTTTTAAGAGGAATAAACTGGCAACACTTGGTAATAAGTAGCAAAAAATCATTATGCATTGCGATACCATCAAACCCTTTTGGTATTACTGCAGATGTGTGCTCCAATCCTATTGTAATTTATGTTTTTTGGTACTGATTATCTGAGAGATTAAGGGATTAGCAGAGCTGGAAAATGACTCCACAATACCTCGGCAATTCCCATTTTAGACCTCAATACACCAGAGTCCCCTAAGACTAGCCAGCTCCGTTTGCCACCTTCCAAACCCACGCCCGCCTTCTGGGGAAATTTAAAATAACTTACTGTGTAGATTTGATTGGCCCTCGTGTTTGACGAGGACTCCTCAGTCAAATGCACGAGCCCCTCAGGAGCGATCCTGACTTCTCCCCACACCGAATGGGTTTTCTCTGCTAATTAATTTGAAGTTCCTACAGAGGCACTTGCCCTCAAATAGAAATTCTCTTGCCGGCATCAGCAAGGCTAGGGCAGGTGTGCGGGACTGAGTCACTTCCAAGTTGCTGAGAGAGCACGGCATGGAACATCTGGAATAAAAATTGGGGCCTCTGTGTATGTGTGTGTGTGTATATATAAATAATATACCCGGGCATTCACAAGATGCCAGGAGACACTTAACATAAAACTGTTCCTTCTTCTTCTGCTTATATTTTGGCTACGTGATGAGATTTCCCCAGACACAGTTGTATCTCTGTCCCTTTCCGGCCAGGCTCTTTGACGACATATTGTATCGTGCCGATGCCTGTGGAAAACACTAGTTTAGGGGCCTGATCCGAAGCCCATTGAAGTCAATGGTAAGAATCCTCTTGCAGTAAGACAGTTGTGTCTTAGGGCACGGAGCACAGGGCCAGGGAGAGGTCAGTGTGCTTGCGTTCTATCCCCGGCTCTACCACTCTGTGACTCAGTCTCCCCACCAGGGACAACAGTGCTCAAAGAGCTTTGAGAGCCATGAAGGGCAAGTTGCAGTCGCCTGAAGCAGGCCAAAATCAGTGCAGAACACGACCCCCGCGGCTCTTTGCACTGATGTAACTGACTGCATGTGGTGACGGGCGACAGGGAACCAGGCCTCTTGGGCTCTCTCCCTGGCTCTGCCACTGCCCAGCCGTGTGACCCTGGGTGAGTCACTTCCCCCGTCTGGTCTATGGTGTGTGGGGGAGGAGAGCGAGGGGGGGGAGATTAACACTGAATTAGCCACACCAGTGCAAGCCCCTCCAGTGTAAACACGCTGC